CTGGAAAAATTCTAGAACAATCAAGTCTAAACTGTAACCGTGTGCGAGTGAATTTGCAACGTAACATTTATACATTAGAACTTTGAATGGCAAGAGAATATGTTTATATAAGTTAACATATAAATAATACTTGGAATGAACCATTGAAAGTCAAATAAGGTCAACAAGTTATCAAGGAATAAAGGAGTCAACAAAAGTCAAATAATTAAGCCTTAAAGCATGAATTATACTTTGTAAGGAGGATTTTTCGACTTTTAGGCCCTATACCTTTGAGTTTTCGGTCACATAGGACCGAAATCACCTTCATTGGATTTAACCAAGACCGAAAACACCTTGTTTAAGGCCCATTAAGGCCGAAATCTCATTCTTGGATCATACTTCGACCGAAATCCCCTCCTTAGTTGAAGCTAGGACCGAAATCAACATTTTAAAGTGGTATACAAGTGATTTTGGTCATGCCTTGACCGAAATCACTCTTAATTAGGCCGAAAAACCATAGGATTTAGATATTTTATGCAACTTGATTGGCTGTTAGCTTCCTAAGGTGATATATTACACATATCAAGGCAAACCTCACATCACCTAATCGTATTTCCTTCTTATATAATCACGATTTGGAGATCATTGCAAACCCATTTCACAGTGAATGAATTTCCTTCAATAATCTCTCAAAACTCAAACCCCTTTCCTTCAATATTTAAGTTCAAAGATCCCCAGGAAGCATTCTTCAAAATAGTTACAAGCATTTGGTAAGTGTTCTTCATAAATGTAGTGTTTATGCAACACTTACACTATTAGTTCATATATTCACACATTATTATGTGTTTAAACCATTAGGATACAACACCCTTCACGTATTCTAGACTCGAAGATCACCATTTTTATCTCGTTATCTAACCGAAATCGCACTCGAGGTGAGTTCATACCCCTACATTTTCCAAAGTTTTTCTATGTTTTAGGGGGGGGGGGGAATACAAGTGAAACACAAGGAAACTTGTGTTAAATTACAAACCGTTACTTACGTTTTCTTACATTTTATATATATATATATATATATATATACATTTTTATACGTAAAATAATGTTACTACCAAAATTACAAACTTTTACATGCAAAGTCGTTAATACACAAAGGTTTTCATTTCAACGGAACATACATTTACAAACTATAATAGGTATAGTTTATGGAATATTCACACTATTTTTACACTATGAAAGGGTAATACATACATTTACAAGAAAATGGAATTTTCATACGTAAACCTGTTGATACAAATTTTATGAGACATTTGGCTTCACCGTACTTTTAAGTACATAACATAAGTCATGTATCATAAACCAAAATCTCTTGTAGGGAGAGCGTGATACTTGAGTATAGATCTATATGGGACTGACAATCTCGCACCTAAACTGTTAGCTACAGTTAGACCGGTAGGTCTGGGTGTCAAATGTCATAACATTCTGACGCCGGAAGAACGTCGTCACATGCCAACTAGTCGCTAGCATGGTTATAAAAAAATCACATGGGGTATTAACAATACATTTTGGTTTACGGGGCTAACGTACAATAAAAAGGTTTTATGCAAATTAAAACTACATATTACAAACTTTAAGTATGGAAAATTTATACATTTTGGTCTCGAAGCATTTAAGACTACAATTCATTTTATAGAAAATATCGGATTTTATGGAAAATAAACACGATTACTTTACACGGAAAGGTTTACATTCATACAAACTCTTATGAACTCACCAACTTAATTGTTGACACTTTTTCAAAACAACTTGTATTCTCAGGGAACCAGTAAAACAGGTAATCACCAGCTTTTGAGGACGGGTCGCTACGACATCAGTTTAAAACTCATTTTGTCAGCATATTGTAATTTATTTGGAAACATGTAACTCATGCAACAATGTAACCTTTTAAATTATATTTATGATGGTTGTGTTTGCTTTCTTTACTATTACTCAATTGTTATAATACTGTATATGACGTCATCCTCCCCCGAACGTTTCCGCCGTTCTCGTTTGGGGGTGTGACAAAGAGCGATCCAAGACTTTTCTTGTTGTTTGTGTTTCTCCACCATGACTGCTCAACCAACTGCACAATCATGGGATCTAATCACATTTCCTTCGGAAACAACCCTTGGCAACCCTATGTTTAAGGAAGCACAACTAACCTAATTGGGGGAAGAATCAATGACCCAAGGTTTGGGAGTCAAGGAACTAGAAGACAAACACACGGTGCACTGACCTTTTTAGGTAACAGAGGCAGTAAGAAGAGAGTCATTAGAAAAGAAAGAAATTCAAAGTGTTCTTAATAGAAGTGGTCATGGGTAGCTAAAGTGTCTACAATTTGATTCCTTTCCCTGTAGATATGAGATATGGACATGGAAGGAAGTAAGAAAGTTTTGAAAGAGCTGATCATATAAGGGATTGTCCAAGGGACTACACCTCCATAGATGCTATCAAAATGATTTTTTCTCACTATTCACTGTTACCCCAAGTGATAAATGATGAATTCAATATATCTATGTTATCCCTTCAATTTAAAAACCAAAAATACCTTGTTGACGTATCATTGGGAAGTGCATTAACATAAATACGACAATAAGAAGTGAGAATACAAAAGTGTGTAAACTATAAAAATGAGTCAACATGGATTTTCCCACACTAGCACTTCCGTGCAAGAATTCTACCAAAGGTTATCCTGTTACAGGAATAGATTCAGGTATACCTATTACAATTTTCATTTCCCAACAACCAATTTGGTCCAGAGATAAGGAATAACCGGTTACACCAAAAGATGTAATCAATACACCCAGAACCACACTTGTAACCCAAGTTAATTTGCAAGGTTTTTTAAATCCATCGATGAGATATACATGAAATACATATAGGATCATCATTAGGACCATAATACTTGCCGACCATTGATGAACTAATCAGATTAACCAACAAAAATTAGCTTCGGTCATTATGTATTGAACAAAAGCAAAAGCATCAATAACTGTCGGACGAAGAAGCGACCCAAATTAATAAATTCAATGGTCGACTTGCTTGAATTGAAGAGGAAGAGCCCATTTTCATATTGAATTCAAGCTTTCATTAGCTCCTTCATGATGGGATTGATGTATGGAACCACCGATAGTGAACCATTTTTCTACCTCAGGTCTTACATTGAATGACCTCTCTCATCTAATTGACCGGTGAAGGATGTATTTGAAGATCATCTACTCTCGCTCGTTATCATTAGTTCCTCTCTCTATAGTCGAGCTAATAAAATAAGATATGTTATTGAAGTGAACGGGCACAAAGATCGGTAAGTAGTTGTTGAAAATACTAAGTATTTTTAATATTCAATCTCATATTTATTAATTATTGAGTTTGGGTGTTTTGTGTCAATATTACGATTCATGGTCTTCTCTCATTAATGAAATAAATTTGTTATAAGGGGATATTCCTGGTATTTGGGAATGTTGTGGGTTGTGGCTCGTTTCTTGCAAATTACAGGTATGGCATGCGGATTTATTATTCATGGTCTTATCTCATTAATGAAATAAATTTGTTATAAGGGGATATTCCTGGTATTTGGGAATGTTGTGGGTTGTGGCTCGTTTCTTGCAAATTACAGGTATGGCATGCAGATTTATTAATGAAATAAATTTGTAGGTATGGCATGCGGATTTGATTCACGGATAATATCTAAGACCATAAATTTATCCACTCTTGTAGTTTTAGGTCGTTTTATAGACTGTACTGATCTTTATTTATTTATTTTATTTATTTATTTAATTATTTTTGAAACGACAAACTATCTAAACATACTCCTAAATACCACTTATGTCTCCTAAGAGACTTGAACCCATGACCTCTTACTTTAGAGAATCACTCCTTACCACTTGACCAAATGCATTTTTGTAGATTGAACTGATCTAATATAAAAAAAAGGCAGAAGCGAGGAAAGACCCCTTCGTTGCTCTCTCTTTTTTCCCTTAAGCAGGATTTGAATCCATGTCCGACTACCTCTTGAACTATACAAGAGGCTCATCTACCATTGAGCTATCGAGGTGGGGCTTAAGACGGGAAATCTAAATCGTCACACACATTTTTTTCATTCATTAGTTGTAACCAGCTAAGCTACCTGGACCTCTTTCACGAAATATGTTTTTTGCTTACGCTTCTTCGTCAAGCTTTCGAGCAGAATGTCCACACCCTTTTTTAGTAGTGAATAAGATGCTTGACAACAACGCTAAATCCAAACATTTAATGTGTAACACATGTATGACCGTATCCCTTCGAATGGTCGTTCTATCACAAATTTGCACAAAGTTGGGAGGAGTATTGAGAACCAATGTCAGACCCACTATATGATAAATGGTCTTGGTTCGATTCAATCCGACCCGACTAGACCAATTGCTCACCCTAAGTTTGATACCTTAGTTGATAATCGTTGATTTCCATTTCGGAGATCATGAAAACAACATTCGCAATATACGTGATCATCCTGTTATAAATGTTGAACAAATATATCAACTAACTACAAAGACACCTCCTATTTTGATATTTTTGTAATTAATCCTTATTATTTTCTTGCATTTACTTTTTAGACATATCTCGTTATTGCCCAAAGCCTCAAAGTAATAAATATTCTTCAACAGCCAAAAATAATATAATATAATAATAATAAATTAAGTATGAAAGGGAGACAAAATAATGGCGCCTGAGTTCCTGAAACGCGGCATTTTATCCGGTAAATTTAATTTCCTTCGATCTCACGATCCGGAGGACGGAAGTGGCTGCATCCCCTGTTCACGCCTTAACCTCCGCATCGACCACCATCCCGCCGCTTCCACCAGGCCACCACCACCGCTGTTCTCTCTCTCTCTCTCTCTCTCTCTCTCTCTCTCTCTCTCTCTCTCTCTCTCTCTCTCTCTCTCTCTCTCTCTCTCTCTCTCTCTCTACTGTGTGTGAATCTGAACTAGGAACCAACCCCCATTCTCCAAGAAAAACACATCCCCTGCTCCCTATAAATAATAACCTTCCCACTTCAATTCTTCTTCACAATCCACATTCCATCGCATTCTATCTGTTCTTTCTCACTCACATATCATCAGATTTCCATTTTTTTTTCAGTGAGTGAGAGAGATAAAATGGCAGGAGGACGTCCGTACACTGCTCTGCTTTTGGTCCTATCGTTGATTCTCTTGATCGCATTCGCCGATTTTGCTGAGGTAACTTCCATTCTGTATAAACCAGGTCGAATTAGCTCCGTTTTCCGTCGATCTAGCATACCCAGTATTTTTCAAATGCATTAACGATGATGAATTTTGTCTGCATAATGCTGAAATTCATTCTAAGATGTACATCATTTTGATTTGCATGAACTTAAAGAACACATTTGTACTTTTCTGGATCAAATTTTGTAACGAAATGATGAATTCAAGCTTTCTTATATCTAACCTAACTTTTGTATCTTCAATTTACAGGGATACAAGAAGCTTCGTCCTAGAGGTACTGCATTATGAACATATTCAAATTCAGTTTGTGAATACTTTGAACACAAGTTGAGTTTTTATGCTAAAATGTTGTTTTTTGATTGGATTTGTTGTACAGATTGTAAACCCAAATGTACATATCGATGCTCTGCAACATCACACAAGAAGCCATGCATGTTCTTCTGTCAAAAGTGTTGTGCGAAATGCTTGTGTGTACCAAAAGGTGTTTATGGCAACAAACAGGCATGTGCTTGCTACAACAACTGGAAGACTAAGGAAGGCAAACCCAAGTGTCCTTGATTTTTATGTTTCAAAGATCGGAGGGGTTTCATTGACAATTTTATAAGTCAAAGGGTCTAACTGTTTCTTTCACCAGTTTATGTTTGTTTTGTTGATTCGAATAAGGGAAGTGTACGGATAAGCGAGGGGTATTTTAGTCAAAGTGTTGTCCGTGGGGTCTTGCCTCTTTTATGCTAAGCTAAACTAGGATATCATGTCAACTTATCAAGTTGTAATTGTGTTTTTGTCTTTATGTATTTAGAGCATTTATGATGATGTATCGTGAAGAAAACTGTATCTTTATGAAAAGAAATATATATATTAATTGGTGTTTGGCATAAGTGCATGTACTTATAAAATTAAAAATCATTAATGTTTCTGATAAGTGTACATTGGTTGCGACCTTTTTCTTTAATGGAGAATATGAAATTCAACTCCATTTGGGTGCATAAATGGTACAAAAAACACTATTTTTACACAGAAATTCGATTTTGACACCGTGTTTCTTTTTGTGTTAATTTTGACAATGTGTTTTCCAATTTGTTACAATTTTGACCACTTGACCGGTTAATCAGGTTACATGCTGACGTGGCATGATGACGTGTCAGTTTTGATGACATGATATGCTGATGTGTCAATTGATTTTTTTTTTCCACAAAAAACACTAAGTTTTCACCTTTTTTCGATTTTGACACTAAGTTTAATTTTTTATTTCAATTTTGACACTATGTTTTTTTGTTCCAATCGAACATCATTTATCAAATTTTGTTCAATATTGTCTATTTTCCATTTGAAACTGTATAAATATATTTTTTTTATTACATTTTAAACCGTATAAACATATTTTTTTCGTTTAAAAACCACATTTTAAAGTTGCATATTTAATATAAAATACAATTTTTATATAACTAATACATATTTATACATAAAAATATGGTTTGAGTGTAAAAAAAATGTATTTATACAAAACTATGGTTTTTAAATGAAAAAAAAACATATTTATACGGTTTAAATGTATTAAAAAAATATTTATACGGTTTCAAATAAAAAATTGTCAACATTGAACAAAATTAGAAAAAATGATGTTCGATTTGGAACAAAAAAACATAGTGTCAAAGTTGAAAGAAAAAATTAAACTTAGTGTCAAAATCGAAAAAAAAATGAAAACTTAGAGTTTTTTGTGAGAAAAAAATTCAATTTTGACACGTCAGCATATCATGTCAGCATGTCACGTCATCAAAACTGACACATCATCATGCCACGTCAGCATGCAACCTGGTTAACCGGTCAAGTGGTCAGAATTGTAACAAATTGGAAAACACAGTGTCAAAATTGACACAAAAAAAAACACGGTGTCAAAATCGAATTTCTGTGTAAAAAAAGTGTTTTTTGTGCCATTTACCCTTTTATTAAACGTGAAATGGATTTGTCAAACTTCTCTCTATGCTTAGTGGCAGATTCATTTGACGTATTTTATCAAAGTTGAAATGTATTTGTCAAGTTCGTCTAGGAGACCAAAGGAAGTTGATTATGGAATGTCTAGTTAGGCATTGGGTTGATCCCCGAATGGCTAATGAGGATGGATTGTAAACTCGTTGAGAATATATAAAGTCTATGTTGGTTCAAATCCAGCTCGGCCCAACAAACGTCAATCTTCTAAGTTTTTATGTTAAAACATAACCCAATTTGTCTTACAAGTTTGGTTGGGTGTGAGTGTTTAAAATAAGAAATAAGCTTCAGTTTAGGGTTATGTGTGTACTTGATGTGTGTTTGGTGTGCGTAAACCTAAAAATATGTTTGAATCATACATAACCTAATATATGTATAATAAGATGGATAAAAGTGTGTGTGTGTGTGTGTGTGTGAATTGATGCTTATATAATCATATAAGAAAATGTGTGTGTTCATGTTAAGATCTAGGATGTAGATGTGTTTTTGGGTCTCTTTGGTCCCTTATGCTTGAAAATTTGGAGTTTGAAGAACTCCATAACATTAGACTTGTTATTCTTGGACATATGGACATTTCTAAGACATTTTGAGTGCATGTATGGGGTTCCTTTGGAGCCATGCAAGAAAGAAGGTCTTTTTAGGACGCTTTTTTAGTTAGAATTTGATATTAGATTTGATTAAGCCAAAGGCATGGATCAAATTGGAAACTTTCTCCATTAAAACCTTCATATGTTTCAGATCTGAAAGTTATGACCCTTGGTTGAAGGGATTAAGGACTTAAAGAATGAGTATGGTTAGTCGAGAATAGCGGCGCAACCTTTTGGATGGTCGTGGTGCACATATGGAAGAAATTGTGACTATCTTGTCGCCTAGTGGTAGCAACGCGACAAAGGGCTAGTCGTGATGCATTGACCGTTGACCGTTAACTTTTTGACCAGTTTGACATTTAGTCAAATTGGAGGTTTTGAGTTGTAGACTGAGTTTTAGCCTTTGATTGGTTTAGACGGTTCATGTAGCTGATTCTTTGGGACTTCGAGTAGTTGGAATTCAGTTCTTTGATTTATGTGAGTCTTCTCACTGTATTACTTATGTCATGATTGGATCCTTTGTGTGTTGGATGCTTGTGTAACAATATGACATGATTGTATGATTAGATAGACTAGCAAGGTCACTCTTGTCTACTTGTATGTTTTCATGCTTTGTTGGGATGATAGTAAGACTGGCATGGAGCCGTAAGCTAAACAGGCTTGTAGGGATTATAGAAAGACCGTCATGGAGTCGTGAGTTAAAGAGGCTCGTTGGGATGATAGCAAGATCGACATGGAGCTATGAGCTAAACAAGCTCTTAGGGGTGATAGCAAGACTGACATAAAGTCGTGAGCTAAACAAGCCCAAGGAATGACGACGAAAGCCTATAGACGCATTATTGATATATATGGTTATTATTGTGGGTGTGTGATATTTTGAAAAACTCACTAAGCTTTGTGCTTAATTGTTAAGTTTAAATGCTTTCAGGTTGCTCTGGTAGTAAAAGGGGAAGGCACGGTTTGATTGCATCATATCCATGGAACTGCTTTGGAGACTTCCGTACTTTTGATTTACTATCTTTTGTTACTATGATTTGATTATGGTTTATCAACTAAAAACAAATGGTTATTTATCTCTCCTTGAGGATGAATTTGGAAGCGACTGCTTTTGTTTTAAAATGAAAATTTAGGTTGAAAATTTAGGACGTTACAGTAGTGATGATTAAGTGGAAGATCAATCCACTTGAAGAATTTGCAACAATCTCTTGATAATTGGTAATTCAAGAAAATTCAAGTGAATTAAAGACATACAAAATCACAATTCATAATTTCACAACAATTAATATACCACACTAAAAATTATGCATTACTAAATAACTATTTAAATAGGAAAAAATTACAATTTTATGTCCTACCTAGAAAAGTTTGAACAAGTTATGACAGGTTAAATCATCATCATATAAATGAATTAGCTCAAATCATTATTGCACAAACATAGAATCCCATAAACATGGTCAATCATGGTAATCTGTGTTAGATTATCAACTGTAACCCTTAGTATACAAAAAATTATAACATCCGGGATTTTTCCAGGTATTATGAGTATTTTCCTTAATAAATTTATGGGTTGTTTGGTTGGACTTTGACTTTGGGCCCTTAAGAGTGGGCTGAGGAACCTCGTACGCGAGGCGTACATTGTTATGTACGTCCAGCGTACTCAGGAAAAGGAAACGTGGAAGCCATGCACGTACGCCCAACGTACCAGGAGTATGCCCAACGTACGTGTGCAGATCCTTAAACCCTAAAATTAGAGTTTGCTCCCTATATAAAGAACATAACCCCTGTTGGTTCAGCCTCCCTTCACTCTTACCCAGCCACCACGAAAACCCTAGCTCCCTTTGTGTCCCTTTGTGTTCTAGAAGCCATTTGAGAGTGTTTGTGTGTTGTATTAGTGAAAAAAGAAGAAAGGAGCTTAAAGAAGAAGAAAATAGCTTGAAGAAGAAGCAAGGATCCACCAAGAGCTTGTAGATCCAGAGGATTGACACCATTTCTGACTCTTTTGAGGTATCAAGCTCCATACTTGGCCATTGTATGCTTAGATTTGTTTATTTGGGGGTTTTTATGTCCTTTTTGACCCCCATTGTTGGGACTTGGGAGTGTTTGAGTATTGTTAGTTCCAGAGCATAAGAGTTGTCATTTGGACTCTTAGAAGCACCTAGTGTAACATACACGTTCAGTTATCGTGTTATGTAATTTTAAAAGTGAAAAATATAATGAAATATTATATGAATTTGAGCGTTGAGTTCTAACATATAGTTTTTACTAGAAATAAAGTAAAACTAAGTTTAGAATCACTCGGAAAATATTGGAAGTCTTATGAGATTCCAATCAAAAGTCAAATATTGAAATTTAACGAAAATAAATAAAATTTGAAAATAAGTAAAATTATATTAATGAAAGTTGTAAAGAATCTCGTTAGAAACATTTAGGCGAAAACCTCATCAAAATCCGAGTTATAACGAAGAAGTTATGACTATTTGAAGTTTCGCGACAGAACCGGCACGACGCCGTATGACGTAAAAAGTGAGTTTTCGATAAACTACTTTTTAGCTTTAGTAATCTAAACGAAAGTCGTAGTATTCTTTAAATCGAGAATTTCCATAAAAAGAACGTCCAAGTCTGACTTCGTATGAGGAAGTTATGATTTTTCTAAGTTTCGGAATAGCAGTAGACAGCTAAAAACTCGAAATAAAGATCGAGTGATTTTTAGCCGACACAACCTAAATGAGAATCGAAGGTCTCGTCAATAGTAGTACAACGGTAAAAAGACAGACGAAAACGGACGTCAGATGAAGAAGTTATGAAATTTTAACGGACTTTTCATGTCTCGGCCCGTTAAAAATATAATATTAATATAATATTAAAAATAAAGTCAAAATTAGCCGACGGAGTCTAAATGAAAGATGTAGAGCATAATCTCACCTACGCGTGGATATAAATAACGTCAAAAACGGAGCTCGTATGTGAAAGATATGGATTTTTGAAGTTCGGAGCACAAACTTCGAGAATTTGACTGCATTCACGACGTGAACACAATGTTCACGATGTGAACTCAGTGAACGACGCGTTTCGAGCCTAGAAGACACACGGCAAGCCTAGGGGATGACCAGGATCAAAGTTACGACGTGAACATACATGGTTCACGACGTGAGAGTCGGTTTTTCAGCCTATAAATAGAAATCGAGCCCTCCGGGTTTATGTTACAAATTCTCACTCTCATTCACTCTCTAGCCTCTCTCAAGCCCCTCTAAC